GCTCCTTTTAAATATCATTTGTTTATTAATAGAGTCCTTGTTTTTAGCGCAATAAAACATTAATAATATGAAGAAAAAAAAACCCTAGTCGCACTCCGATTCCCTTTCTCCTTGCTAACAACCAACTGCAAAGAAGCTAAAGGGGGAGGTGGCTGGTGTTGTCTTTGTCTTGACGGCGTCGACAGTAGTGACACTGAATTGTGTATCTATTCGGGAGAGTTGTGATACCTAGTGGCTGATGTTTTGACTTTGTTTCAACGGCGACAGCAGCAGCGACGTTGGTGGTAGTTGTTGGGATGTGATGCTCTTCTTTACTCTGAGCTGACCAAAGAACTATGCTTGGTCATATGTGGTTTTCTTTGTTCAATTCTGAGTTAAAGTGGAGTGCTTCTTAGGGGTCATTTTACTGTTGTTTATGTATTCCTCATGCGTGTTCTCTCCTGGTTTCTTATATGGTATGCCTTGCAGTTTATGTGGGTGTCAAATAACTATGATTTTGTTTTTTTTTTTTTTTTTTTTTTTGTTGATAGTTTCTACAGTCCTTTCATGTGGGTCTACTGTGTTGGTCTATAGTTACGATTCTCGTCGGAGGTCTATGTGTTAGTTATCATTTTTTATTTGTTCTTTTATTGTAATGGTCCAAAGTGACCTAAATCAGACTCTTTTATTAGTCCATGACATGTGTGGTACTATTTCCTCCCCTGGGGTTTGTCCTATGAGGTTGTCTTAGAAAGGTTTTAACGAGGCCACTGTATCATGTCATTCTTTGTACGTCTTTCGTTCTATGAATGAATTCCCTCTCTAAAATAATAATAATATTTGTCATGTTACTTGTCATGTATTAGTTTTTTTATTTTATTTTATATACAAGCGATATTTTAGGAGGAGTAATCGAATTTAGGACATCGAATACAGGAGTAAATACTTTTAATCACTTGACTTAGGCCCAGTTTGGGATTGCTGTCACTTTTTTAAAAAGTTGCTTCTGATGTGCTTTGAAAATAATTAGCTGTAAAGTAAAGCAACTTCATGTTTGGTAAACAATATTTTTAAAGTGCTGTTAGTACAAAAAGCAGTGTCAAAACCGTTTGGTAAATTTTAATATAAAATTGTTGTAATTGTGAATAATGACTAAAATAGACATGATGTTAAAAGTATTATGTACTAATCATGTGGTAGTGATGGAGTGGATGTGGTGGTGGTGATGAAGGTGGAGTTGGTTGTGGAGGTGGTGGTTGATGTGAAAGTTTTGGAGGAGGTGGTGGTTGTGGTGGTAGTGGTGGTGGTGGTGGTGGAGGTGAAGGTGGAGGAGGTAGTGGTGGAGGTGGTGATGGCGGTGGCGGTGGTTGTGGAGGAAGTGAATGTGGTGGTGCAAGTGGTGGAGTTTGATGTGGAAGTGGAGGTGGTGTCATTTTTTAAATGATTGATAGTATTTTGGGAATTAAAAAATTCATTAAAGATTTATCTCTGCTTATTTTGAAAGCAGCTTTGAAAAGCAACCCAGAGCCTGCTTTTAAAAGCTGCTGTCAAAAGGTCACTGCTTTTAAAATAATCGGAATATTTATTTTTATCAAACACCTTAAACTGCTTAACTTCAAAGTGAAACAGGTTTTTGGCCAAAAAAAGCAATCCCAAACGGGCCTTACAAGTCCCTTGCAACATACTAGTTGATTTTAAAAGGTTAGGATAGTAACTATTGTCAACCATATTTTAAGAGGAAATGCAAGTACGTACCATATATGGTAATTTGGTCCATGACCTTTAAATAAAGTTTCATGCCATGTATTTTTGTTCCGTTTAACAAATAAACAACAAAAAGAAGATCATATGTTACACTTCGATATAATTCACATAGCAGTCATTGTCTAGCTATGACTATTTTCACTGCAGCACATAATACAAAGAAGATCAGCAGCAATGCTCAAACTATTGCAAACTTGAACCCAAATGGGAAAGGAAAATAGAAGGGTTAATCGTTTTATTAGTCCCTAAATTTAGACCCGATTTGCATTTAAGTCCCTCAATTTCCAAAATCGTTCCCATAGTCCTTCAACTTCAGTTTCGTTAGGACAAATGGTCATGCTGTCAATTTTGTTAACTTTTCTGTTAAATGCAGGGGAAAAATGGTATTTTTGTACTAAATTGATTAAAATATGAATAACAAAAATAAAAAACTAAACTCTCTTCCCCTCCCCCCCCTCCTCCATCCCGATATCTACTCCCCCAAAACTTTATTTTTTTTATGTTGGTTGATTATTTGATTTTTTTTATTATTCTTTTAAAGATATGATTTTTTTATTTCTTTTTTTTTGTTTTAATATAAAAAATACCATTTTGCTCCAGCATTAACAGAAAAGTTAACAAAATTGACGGTAAGACCATTTGTCCTAACGAACGTGAAATTAAAGGACCACCGGAACGATTTTGGAAATTGAGGGACTCAAATGCAAATTAGGTCTAAGTTCAGGGACTAATAAAACAATTAACCCAAAAAAGAAAAACAAAAATAGCTTTTCACCATTCTAACATGACATATTATAAATAAAAAAACTTTAGAAAAACTTTATGTTTATACACTTTCAAGTGAAAAAATTGTAACACAATAAGAACTGATTAGAAAATGACAAGTGACTAATTGATGGTTTTTCTTTTTCCTCCAAATAGGTTCTCAAAGAGTTTTTATATAAAATGTAATGTTAGAATAGGTCCATTATGAAAAGCCCAAAAGAAAAAAGTTTCTCCGCCGTAAGCTTTGTTTTTGTTTGATTTTAATGCTTGAATTTGACCTGCAACTTCTTTATGCTAACATAGCCAACTGATGCCAACATATATTAGATACCAAAAACACAAACCAACGATTCACCGTCTTGCAAGAGAATATATTACTAGCAATGAGCATAACGGGCCTATTGTTTCGATGGAGAGAAGAATCTACGATTAGCTTTTTGGGAAATTTCCGAACCAATAATTTCAACGAAATCTTTCGATTTCTTATTTTACCATGTTCAACTCTATGTATTCCTCTATACGTAGAGTACATTGAATGTACATAAATGGCTATAACAGAGTTTATGTTATTCGTATTAACAGCTACTTAATGAGAATAACATTCATATTTTCTATTAAAAAATCACAAACTTAAAGACATTCTTCTTGCCATTACTTATATGAATATTTATTTCACACACTGAAGAACAAATTTTAAAACCATTCTTTCTGTAAAAGTTTTTCATTGACAATTATCAATACTGAATTAATCTATATGAAAATTATAACATTGGTTGACATGTAAATTAACAAAGATAATGCATCCGACAGTGAAACATGAAAAAAGCTGCATAGAAGGTAAGATTGTGGATTGTGTATAACCAAACTTTCAACCAGCTAACCTAAAAGTTTGAATAATTAATAATTAATTAATTGAGAAACACCTTTTATGATCACCTCCCACACAAACACTAGAAATTAGAATAAAGTCCATGCACTCAATTAAGAGTTTTCAAGAATTATAAAAAACTACTTTTGGGAATGGTTTAATTTAGTGCCTGCATGGTTCCAGGATCAAAATTTAAAGTTTTTTATAACCTAAAAATGAAAAAGAAAAAGAATTCAAAATTAGGACCCCCTCCCCCTTCCTACTCTTGGCCTACCCTCATTCATTTTGTTTTTCTCCCCAAACATGTCTTCCTATTGAAGCCTTTGTCCTAACTATAATAGGCAAGTCCTCTAGAGAACTCCTTAATTATATATTTATATACCTGCAAGGCCTCTATCTTTTCAAGTACTGAGGATATATTCCATTGGTAGTGTGATTGTGGTATCCATCTTTTCCTATACAGTCAGTGTGTCTTTTTGGCACAAAAGATGTGAAAGATCAGGGCATGGGTGTTTGTTTAATTAATTACTGCTTTCTGATTAAAGTTTACAGATGCCCCAACTGATCTAGTATTTTTTTCTTGTACTGTTAATAATAAAATATCCCCCTTATGGGGTTAGCTTTATGCATGGTTGTAGGTCTATAGCTATAGGGTTATGATTCCCCTCAAAGGCTCAAACTAGTCTCTTAACTGTGAAGGAAATTAATATACATATAAATACCCACTTTGAATCATATAAAAGTATGCATGTTAGTGCTGCACTTTATAGAGAAATCAAAACACAAATATATACATGATTTAAACTAACTTTATAGTTTATACTATCGCTTGTATTCGAGAAAAAAGAAATCAGAGAGTCAGGCATTAATTATGATGACAATGAGCAAATTATTAAAATAAACAAAAACAGCTTTTGAGCAGCAATTCCTCAAATCTATATGAGTCATGATTCATGCTCTGTGATTGTGTCTCTACATGTGTATATTTTCTTGGACATTTTGGTTGTAATTTTATATTTTGATGCACATGGATAGTACTTGAAATTATATGATAAAGAAAACAAGCTTGCAATCTTGGTAAATTTGTCCAGACACTGCTCCTAGCCGGCAAAGAAACGGAAATGCTGGAGAAAAGTGGTTTCGAAGTTCATAAAATAATCTGGTAGATTAACCTTGAAGATGAGAATTAACCATAAACAAATATACAAGAAGACAAATTGCAAACCCTGCTGTACACACAACATTTCACAGACAATATATCAGATAATTTAGGCATTGAAATTTGAACAAAGCAGAAGTAGTTAACTAAAGCTCATCTAGAGCTTCGTCTTCTTCTTTCTGAATTTATATATCTTTTTCATTTTCGTAGTACATGTGGTTTAAATGTACAAGAACAGAAACTATGTATCTTGCTTTAAAGAGAAAGGGATCTGATCATGAGTCTCTTTAATTATTTACACTCCAATAATTAGCTGAACATATTACTAAAAATGGTTAAGATCATAAGAAAACTATTCATAATTATTACATTAATTATATGTTTCCCTATTTTTTTAGTCACAAGAACAAATTACACAGAGAGAGAGAGAGAGAGAGAGAGAGAGAGAGAGAGCCTAATTAAGACTCATTTTGGGTTAATGAAAAATTGCGTACCAGGCATGAAAGCATTAAAGGGAATCAATGGGTATGAAGAAGGAGGGTGATGATGTGGTACTTGGTCTGCAGGATCAGGAGCTGATGAAGTGGAAGCAGTATTTGCAGCAGCATTAATAGAATTACTAGTTTTCCTATTTAACAATACATGATGGGAGCTGGAGCTTTGGCCTACAGTAGTGTAACAATTTTGATGATGATGATCAGGACCTTGATCAGAGAGAATTCCCTTAAATACATGCCCTCCGATCACCACGGTCGTCTGATAAGCGTGCTGATCAACCATGTCTTCCACTGAGCTCACTCGAACACACTTAAAAGTTGCCATGGAATTCACTTCAGCTGGAAAATTCACCTCTTGATCTAGCCCTAAACATAAAGAAAACCCAATTAACCAAAATGATATCTACATTAATATTGATCATCATGAGAAAAAATAATAATAATAATAATAATTCAAGCCACATACTAAAAGTGGTACAGTATTCCTAAACAGTATATCAGTACAAGTAAAAGAGTAAAGAAAAAGGAACTTGTCACTGTTAGGGTTAGCATATGGACATCACATTTCCTCAAATTTGGAAAAACAAAAATTAACAGTACTTGTTGAGGAAGACGGATTGGTGAGGTGTTCAGCTGGCCTCTTAGGGTTTTGGTGGTGATGTCCTTGTTCATGATGAAGCTGAAGGTGCTGTTGAGGAATAGCTGCTGCAGGAAGCTGCTGTTGGCGTCTTCTGTAGACAGGAACCCAAGTGCTTTTGACGTGGGTTTGGCAGTGAAACCCTTTGCTCTTACAGCAAGTCCTGCATCTCATGTACACACACTCCTTCTTTGCTTGGTTCCCACAGTCTTGGCATCTTGAAGCCATTATCACTCCTCCTTCTCCTCCTCGCTTCACCATCTGAATCTCATCATAGCCAGCTAATTAATCAAGACCAACCCCTTAAATATTTCAACTCATCCATGGCAATTTTGATGATCTTTTCTTTCTCTTTTTTTCTCTTTGATTTTTGCTGAAAGATAGATGGGTGTACTTATGGGAGGTGGGGGTGGCCTTTGAGTTTTGGGTTTGTGTTTGTGGGTCATTTAGTACTTGTGTGCTCATGTGAGGCCAGCAGCTCTTTAAAAAAAAATTAATCTCTCTTTTCTGAAGTGCTAAATAAGTAGGAATTTCGGGGAGTTTGAAAAGGATTCAGAGAGTTGAAAAGTAGAATTGCACCATTTGTTGTGCAACTTGACAGCTCCATCGATTCTGATTTTGAAGTATAAACTCTCTCTCTCTCTCTCTCTCTCTCTCTCTCTCTCCTCACCCTTTAGTTCACTGCAGTTAGCTCAGTCTTAAACTCTTAATAACCCGGCAGGACCTGAACAGAAAAGCAAATTAGAGAGAGAGAGTTGAAAAAGGTGGTATGTTCTTTAAAGATAATATTGATGATAATGCAAAAGCATGGTTGTTTTTGGAAGTGTGTATTTTGTCTTCTTGTGAAATTAACTAATTTACCTCATCCCACCTCTGCTTGATTACAAATACCTCTTCTCATTCTTCTACTACTAGAATGTCTTTCATCAAGCTGAGAATTTGAACCATCCACGAATTAATGTGTCAAAATAAAAATATATTTATTTGGAAACCTAAGTATGTAATTAGAATATTACAATGCTTATTGAAGTAGTTCTCATGAGGTTTAAGTTGATAATTAACTTGAAGTTGCCCTAAAAAGGTCTTAGTTAATGACTTAAAAATTGTAATATACCTAGTTAATGATAATTTGATATGTCTTAATTCCCCACTTTACTTATTAGAACTAATCTAATTATAGTGATATAGTGTATGTCGGATTAGCGAGCCTTATTATACTTAAAGTTAATGTTCAATCATATTCGCATTTAGTGTATGTTCACAAAAATGTTATCATGTCGTACAGTCTAGCAATATAAATATGCGTTGTTATAGGCTACAAATATTTTTTATTAATTAGGTTAGCAGTTATATAAATGTATAGTACAGGTTCACAATTTTAGCAAACAACCGCAACTTTTAACGTATCCCATATTGAAAATTTGGTTCCGCCAAGATGCTTAAGGGCAACATAAGATAATTGGTACTTAGCGTGATAAGAGAACACTCTCTATATTGTGTAGATACATACACACCCACAAAGATGTGCCTTTCCTTTCTCAATTTCCTTTTAGCTATAAAGCATCGACATCATTATTTTTTTTTGGTAAAAATTGCTATAGTTTGCCTAGAGCCACAAATTTGCTCATATTCTCACCGTACAATTCATACAGTGTGCGAGATGCTTACTATACACGATTGTATGATGCATCTCTGCGAGACTAGTCTGTCAGCTTTTACAAACATATTTGGTCCCTGCTCCCGAAAACTCGCATTGATGTCTGACCGCTCTTCCTCTTCTGGGGGAAATTGGTTTGCCATGGTTTTAACGGATTTTCTTCATCTATTTTCTAGTTTTCCCCATTAAGATGCAATTATTATAATCTCTCTCTCTTTTTTCTTCTTCTTTGTTTTAGAATTAGCGATACCATTTCATTGAAAATAGAATCGGAAACAAGTATACAAAACCGGCCTCTTTACATAAAAGGGTTAGCTAGATAGTCTTCCCTCTCAACCGCAAGCAGAAAAAAGAACCTTACCTCTGATAAAGCGCCCCCATCCCCGTGAAAATCATGCCGGTAAAAACTACTTGTTATAATCTCTTCTTTGCCGTACTGATTTTAGAAAAATACGAGACCTTGCATTTCCTGCTTTATTAATTTATTTTGAGATTTTGTTATAATATTTATACACAACTCTCAAGGTTGTTGGTCAATTTGTTGGACTAGCTAGCTAGTGGCAGACTGGTGTCAGGTGTGCTTGTAGTTTGCACTATAAACAGTGATTTCCGGCGCAAAGGTCTTCCGTGCCTCATCTGCCTGCGTACGTACCTGGTTGAAGGGGACTACTCCCCGTACTATTAACACATAAAGGCAATATTTTTATACGCTGTGTGTGAGGACCATAGTAAAGAGATGCAAAGGCAATATCTTATTTTTATACCGCGTGAATATATGTTTAAAATTTGTAAAAATATCTTACCATTTTTTTAACAGTTACCATGTTATTTTCCACATAAAATTTCTAAATTTGTATGTTTTTTTTAATCCAAACACGAGAATTAGTGTATGTCAATTTAGAAGTTTTGACTTTTGTCCAAATTTCAATTTTATTTCCCCGTTCAAACTCACCATTAAAAATTGTACTTCTAGTTGTCTGTCAACATGAGAAAGCACGGCCCCCCCACCACCACCCCTATCGTCAATCCACGTTGCCATGGGGTATGTTCTGTTGGTTGTCCACGTTGATATACCATAGTTACCTTTTTGTTGTTTCAATTATATACCTGTATAAATTTATGTGCAATATTTATACGGGTACGATATTTTTTACGTTGTTTCAATATATCTGTACATATTTATATGGAGACAATATTTTAGAATATATGTTCACATAATAATATGGGTACAATGTTATAATATTTTAGGCACCCCTAATACTAATATAATTTAAAGCATGTAAAAGAATTTGATATTGCCTACATGGGTTGATTCAGTTGGTAATGCGCGAGCTGTGTGTTGAGCCTCAACCGAGTTCAATACCTACTGCCAGTAGTCCCATATTGATTGGTAATCTATAAAATATCTTGTGTAATTCCATAACGAAAAATATAAAGGATAATGGTCCCTTACGTTAGTTCAACCAATTCTAGGTAGCAAATTTTCCCTGGCCAAGCATTTGTCGTCGTGGGTGTCCCTCCCCTAACTTTTTATAACCAAAAAGAAAAAAGAAAAAAGAAATCGATATTTCACACCATCTATCGAAAGCATCAACCAAAAAAGAGGAGATTGAATAGATGGTTTTGGGTTGGCTGTCCTTCGAAACACGTTCTACTTTTCTTATTGTCACATCGGATGGGGTGAAGAATGCTTTGGCGTTGAAAACATCTTGGTGGCTGAAACCATTTTGTATTCAATCGTAAGTGGGAAAAATGAATTAAATTTTTTTAAGTGGCAGTACGACACAATTATGTGATGAGCAAATGGTGTCATTTCATGCAAATTTGTGTAGGATTTGCCGTCAAAATTGGCACCATCTGGATGCAATTTACAACAACCACAAGATGTGTGAAGCAGACCAAAATGACGGAGACATAATGAAATAGGAGCACAAAATGGGCTAGTCACTCACAAGCAAGACTCAAAGAAATGGGCCAGATTACGTTACGACAAATAAATTAGAAACATTGCCATAATTTAGACTTGGATATTCAGTTTTTGTTTTGGCTCCTATTTGGATTAGCTCTGCATTAGTTGATGATCACGAGTGATTTGTATTGATTAGGCGTTTTGTTTTTTCTGGGCCCCCCCCCCCCCCCCCCCCCCCCCCCCTTTATTTATTTATTTATATAATCAAATAAATAAATTAGGAACGCTATGAATAATCTAAATTAAGATTATAATCTTAAATATAACAAGATAAAAGAATTAAAATTTAACACAAAATTAACGAGTATCATAACTTATTATTACTTGACAAGAACATAAAATCGCACAACCTACTAGAATAAATCCAAGTACAAACACGAAATAATTTATCCTGGACACAAGCTTGCTGATTTTATTATTTTTTAATTTTTGCAATTTTCTCTCTTTCTTTTCTTTTTGGTTTCTTTTGATGGTATTTTTTGAATTTACAGAATTAAAGGATTTCTCTATTGGTTATGCTATAATTTAATTGAGTGAGTTTTTATTTATTTCATTTGTATGAGATAATTTGACTTAAAGATCATGTGACCATTCACATGAAATTGTCTCCTACAGGAAATTTTTTATTCAGTATAGACACGTGTAATAAACAAATTGGACTAGTGTCATGTCATTATGTCATAATATAACATGATGTTTTGGTCAATCATAATATAACAGGATAAGGATTAGTTATAGGGTGGGCTAAACATAATTGAACATAAATATGAAGTGACATAATTGGAAAGGGCGAGCCAGTCGAAAGGTCAACCCAACCTAAAAATATGAACTCAATCCAATTCAACGTGAATTTGGATTAACTTGGGTTTCATTTTGATTGCCCAATTTTGCAAAATATACCTTAGTTATTAAGAAGGAAGAAAAAAATTACGAAACGCATTGGTTAAATGGAGTTTTATAAATTTGGATTAACTGGTTGTAAGTCATTTTATAGCTCAAGTGCATGGGCGGAACCACAGCCAAGGCTGTGATGGATGGGCCGTAACCTAGGTAAGTTTAGAAGAAAAAACAACAATAAACATATTAATGAAATTATCTCCTGCCTTTTTTTGCAAAATATGCTGTTGGCACTTTGTGCTTATCTCAGCACATGTCGTCAGTCAAAGACGCATTACCATCAGAGATCAGTTTGTCATTCTAGCAACAAACAGGGTTAGCATATTTCATTTTATTTGCCAACTTTGTTCCAGATTGTATCAAGAAAATTTTGCGGTTTCCAAAGCATACTGTTATCTTTGACTTCTAAAGTAACAGAAATATTATTGTTGTGTTTAATTCATTGAAGATTTGTTCAATGCAGGAGAGAGAGAGAGAGAGAGAGAGAGAGAGAGAGTGATTCACGTGGCTACCAGCCCAAGGAAAAGAGAAAGGGAAGCAAAAGAAAGGCAGAAGAGAGAGAGAACGTTGGGCTCCGCACCTGCGCTTTTGAATTATGATTGCAGTTGGGCCACTAAACTTTTTGAAGAGAATTGGACTCTGAAACATTAGGTAGGCCTATAGAACCGGACTATTTAAAAAAAATAACTGGACCCGTCCAGTTCGGTGCTGACTAGTTTACTGAGGTGTAAAACTGGAACTGGGTTAAACCAATTTTTTTTTCATGCTTTTTTTACTTTTGTTTTTTTTTTGTTTTTTTTTTTTTTTAATTTGGTGTTTGGGTCTATATTCCCACCGCTAGTTAAAAGTAGGGGTGGTTGCGGTTCGGTAAACCGCAAAATGTGGTCGGTTACCACGAATTAGCGGTTTTAAAACCGCAAGTTCTCAAGCATTCACAAAAATATAAATTCACAACCTAAATAAATAAATACACAACCTTAATTTCTCAAGCATATATAAATTCACAATCTCCTCAACTTCTCAAGCATTCACAACCTAAGAAAATTAAAGTTATAATTCCAAGCATTCCAATTAAAGTTAAACTTCTCAAGCATTCCAATTCTAAATCCTTTAAAGTTACAAACCAAAAGGAAAATGCAAAGCAAAATAAATTATAGTTACAACCAAAAAGAAAAATACAATTCAAAGTTAATTAAAGTTACAAACTAAAAGGAAAATGCAATGCACCAATGTTACAAACTAAAGTTACAAACTCAAGTGTTGGTGGTAAGTGGATTTGAAGAACACCGTTGTGTTGTTTGAGCACCAATGTTATCTACAAATAAAACAACATAGTTTAGTACATTTTATTATAAGAAGAAGCATAAATAAACTAATTACTTACAAGTTGTCATATGTTTCATTTCCTTGTAGAATTCAACATCATCATCCGTGCGGCTATACTTTGCGGTTTGCGGTAACCGCAAGTTTTGAAAATCAAATACCGCAATCCCAACCGCAAATGCGGTTTGGTTCTTAATACCGCAAATGCGGTTCGGTTTACCGCGATTGCGATTTCATTGCGGTAAATTATTGGTTGGTTTTTGCGGTTTTTCGGTTTAAAATGCCACCCCTAGCTAAAAGGGTGGTGGGATGTGCCACTCTTGCATGGAATAAATAAGCGAGGCATTGTCATGGATGACATCCAGTGGTGGACTCACAGAGGCGTAAGGAGGCACCTCCTTCGTCGAAAAACAGCTTGGAGTTGGTAGAGTTTTGTACCTATGGTCTGCCTTGGAGCTGCCCACCAAGTGCTTGTGGAAATGTCGCAGCACATCTTCTATTTTGAGTTTGATGCGTTGTTGCGCAACAGCGCCTATTCTTCTTTTTTTTTTCCCTTAACTCCTAGCCAAAACGAGGTCGTTTTGGTCTCGGGGAAAAAGAAAAAAAAAAGGAGGGGGTGCAGGGCACCTCTTCTTGCAATATATCAACAATATAAATTAGGGTTATTCGTAGCAATGGTCCCTCAACTATACCCGTAGTTACAGTTTGGTCACTCAACTCAATTATTTGTTGCAGAGGTCACTCAAGTATGTGTTTTGTTGCATCATTAGTCCCTCTGTCAAACTTTGTTAAATTTTCTGTCAAAAATGAGGATAAATTTGAAAATTCATCCACAACCCTCCCCGTCCTCCACAATCCTCCATTGCCGCAACATTCGTGACGAAGCTCACCGCCACAACACAACCCACACCCACCATTTCTCCGCCGACTACGTCCCTTTCAACGCCGACCCTTCCTCTGCTGCTGCCGCCGACTCCGAGTCCTAATCCCTCGATGAGATCGTTCATCGATCCAACTTCGACGACCTCCTCGACGTCCAGCATGACATGGCCGCCCTCAAGAACTACGACGACAAGTACTAGCGCGACCTCTTCGACTCCTGCGTTGGCAAGACCACCTGGCCCTACGGCTCCGACATCTGGAGCAAGAAGGAGTGGGTCTTACTCAAGATCGACAGCGACGATATCGTCTCCTCCTTCGAAGGTAACTCCAATCTCTTCTAGGCTGAGCGTTATGGTAAACAATTTCTGCGCATGAACGATTTGTGGGTCAAGCACTGTGGGATTAGCCGCAGGGTATGTGGGTCAAGCATTGCAAGGTATGTGCGGCAATGGAGGATTGTGGAGGAAATGGAGGGTTGTGGATGAATTTCCGAATTTACCCTCATTTTAAACAGAAAAAGTCACAGACTTGACGGAATGACTAATGTTGCAACAAAACACCTACTCGAGTGACCTTTACAACTAATAATTGAGTTGAGTGACCAAACTATAACTACGGGTATAGTTGAGGGACCATTGCTGCGAATAACCCAAATCCCAATCCCAAATCTTTATTTTACCTTCAATTTTATTTCTTCTCATGTAATTTTTTTTTACCGTTTGGTATTTTTGCTTTAGTTTTTTTCTTTTCTTTTTTATAATATATATTTTTTTTATTATTTGTTTCTAATTTATCTCTCTCTTTATCAAATATTAGTAGAGAACTCGAAGATGTTGCACAGCACACAACTCAAGGTATGAATTTTGATAAATTATGAATGACAATAGTATTGATTAAATTATAAGGTTTGGTAGTCTAAATTTATAAGAGCATTCGCCATTGATGGCATCTCAACTATTTTCCTCTTCTTTCACGCTTCATCCCTACAACAGGCCAACCATCTTGTCTCACAATATTCTTGTGTGAAACTTTTGGGTAGATGCCGATTATTGTTGCCTCAGTTTACTATGGGCGTTGTGTATATATAAGTGTTACTTTACTTTAGGATATAACATGGAGGAGGGATATGATCAACACTAAATAGTTCATCAATTATTTATTTTCATTGAATTAGTCTGACAATTGGGATCAGTCACTTGAGAAATCTTTAACTTGCTCAAGATTGTATTTTGTTAACTTTCTTGAATTTCAATGCTTTTTATTTCAATTATAATAGCTTTTGATTTAAATATAAAGGACTCATGATAGGTCTCAGTATGAAGAAACTTTTATGTAGCGGAAATACACTCTTTTGTGTCTTTCTCACTCGTAATGTGACTATTTACATGATAAGTCAGAAATAGAGTACGGAAATAGGATCCAGTACAAGAAGGTTTTTGTCGACTACAAACATGTATAATAAACAAGTTGGACTAATGTAGTTACATATATTCGACAAAATTCAACATAATTCGATAGTAGTGCAACTCGGGCTGGTTGGAAGGTCAACCCAACCTAGCCCATCCTTGGCAATTTGAGTTCAGGTTCAGATTTCTTGAGGTTGGAAAAAAATGAAATCAACCCAACTCAAGGTGAATTCGGGTTAACTTGGGTTGAGTTTAGGTTGCCCAATTTTATATGGGTTGAGCTCAACCCCGCACTATAGAATTCTACTAGCAAGGTTTATCATAACTTCTTAGAAGAGTATTGCTAAATGAACTCTAAAATTAATTGAATACATCATATTATCAAACTATTTATTGAATCACTTATTTATCCTAATATAAAATGACCAAAAATGATATATTTAATTATGAAACAAATGTAATTTTAATAAGTACACCCTACTCACCATCTTCAATTCTAATCAAAGAAATGTTGTATGTTCGCACTAAAACTAAACAGATAGAGATAAGGCTAACTTACAGGTGATGTGGATGGCTTAGACCGGAGGTGCCTTCGGTCCGTGGCGTGATGCTAGATTCGGCCTGAAGAAAGAAACGGCAGGTGAGGTCTAAGACACCGGTGTGGCGCGGGCCAAAGACCCTCTAATGTCAAGGTTAGTGACTAAGAGCAATTCTATTCACAGTGTGAAAGCATAAGTCAAGTAAACAGTCTTACCTTTTTGGTTGGGTCAAGGGGGCTATATTTATAGAGAGCATTTGTGATGCTCTTAGTACTTAGTTTCGATGTGGGACTCGTGTGAGTATCTTAGAAGATCGACACGTGCCCTGACAAGTTCTGGTGGGAGTTCCAAGGTTATCTATCAGGATCGGCTGGATGTGCTGACTGGTCGCTTGGCATCGCGTGTCGAAGGTTGGTGTGGGTGAGTCGGTCGTTAGCACTTACCGATTAACCTTTCGACATGGCTCACTGAGCTAGTCTTAGCCTCGTTTACCTTCCACGTGCCATGACGTGAGTGGGGGGGGTCAGATATGATACAAACATTGTCACATATTAATTCCAATATGGAACTAATAAAAGAACATAACAAAAACAAAAACAAAAAAACAAAAGAAACCCCGCCACCTTGGCTTCATTTATACTTAATTTCAAGAGAGGGCGACATTCATCTTCCAAGGGAACGCACCCAGGCAAGCCAAACAGTACGGTGACATGAATTTGGCTCATATAAGTAGGAAAGCTCTTTGGGATTGATCGAGATGGAAATGGCACTCTCTTGGATTTAGTTGACACGATGAATAAAAGAATATAAGTACTAGCCCACTTGATGTACGATGGTCAAGATGATAATATGGGGGTCCGGCAGGGGGTTGGGTACCTTGATAAATTTTTGGGCCATTGGGTCTGGGGCTGGGTACAAAGGGATGTGTGGGAGGGAGGGTGTAGAACTTGGAGATGGGTGGTGGTGGAGGAAGGAATGGGCGGGCTGCGAGTGGGGGTTGGGTGTGGAAGTGGTTGTGTAAGGAGAGGGAGAGTGGGGGATTGGGTAGGTTTTTTTATATTTTAGTTTTATGAATAAATATTTTCAATTATTTCATTTGTATAGGGCGTACTATAGTATTTTTGGTAGTTAAATAGAGTACTTAGTTAAATTTATATTTTTGATTTAAATATTATGATGTACTTAGATCTTAGGATGTAGTTAATTTTAAGTTCGTTTAGCAACACTCTTTAGAATGAAGAGAGCAAAATTACGAAATGCATTGGGCATATTGGGGTACTGAATGAACCACACGGTACAGCCTCGAGGACGAAATTGATCACAAATAAATCCCATTAGCAGCCCAACAAGTTCCAGGGGACGTTTTGGATTCAAATAATGGCACCTCCTCTGAGTCCTCTCCCATTTAACCAAGGCAAGGGTGAACTGCGAGACCTGAATTTAGTACTGGTCACTGGGTTGTGAATTTTACCCACACAAACTACATCTTAGTATCAGAAAGCTATATTAAACCTAATGCTGCTGGCTGACCATATTTTTCCAGTGGCAAGCACTCCCAAGTGTTTAGAGAAAACCTTGCATGAAACAGGTTAATGTAATCTCTCACTCTATCTCTCTCATCACGCAAGCGAGCGAGGGTTCGAGCGAGTGTTGAGTGATGGGAAACATTGATATTGTGTTGTGGGACATATATCTAAAAGAACAGACAATCCCTACATACACCAATGTATTTCCAAAATCAGAGCTGATAGGAAATGGTTGTGCCAATCCTCTTCAAGGAACAGTCTTCTCAAGTGCTTTTCAAGGAACAGTTTTCTTTCTAACAAATTCTAACCACAAGCAAGAAACCAAATGTCAAGTTTTGCAACAATGGTTACTTCAAGGAGAGATCAATGCCCCAAAGTCATCAAATCAAATATCCAAATGTCAAGTTTTGCAACAATGGTTACTTCAAGGAGAGATCAATGCCCCAAAGTCATCAAATCAACTATCAAAATGATCAAATGAACAGCAGCAATTGTACCAGACATGAACACCCAATTCCAAAATTGTCCAAATGGGTTTCACCTTAACCCTCCAAATTTTCATTTTCCAATTCCAATACCCTAAACATCCATAAAAATGTAGAAAAGAAACCATTGATCCCCAACCATATCAAATGTGAAAGTTTAAAACATATACACAGTGAAGTCATCAACAACAGAAATTTGATTCTTATATAGACCATTGAAATATAACAAGTCAGAGATTCAGAATCAACAACCGCATGTTAAATCCAAACCCCATATTTACCCAAATTAACATAAGACTACTTCATCCCAACTACAAATAATTACATCCAAAACCAGTTGTAAAAGATACCCAAATCTCCAAAGATCTAATCTTTCCCAGCAATGAACTGAAGAAATCCTTTTAGTTTATGTGCTTCAAACCCAGCCCATGCTTCCCACGGACGCAGCCAGGCCTCACAAGCAAGTAAGGCGATCGCTTCGAATTGTTCATCTTCGGAAATGTCCTCTTCCCCAATTTCCTCATCCTTTGCCTCCCAAACTTGTCGCCCACCGACCACGGCACGAGCTCGTCATCTAAACCATACCCATCATCATCGTCGTCATCACCATCATTACCACGGCCCTCATCCTCATCACCACCGTCAAAATCGTGACGGGGTTTGAGATTGAGGCCCACATCGAGAAATCGAACAAGATGAGGACGACGATGGCTATGGGCACCGACAGGAACTGCCATTGGCGGAGAGGTCGAAGAGATAGAAGAGGAAAATGAAGAAGGCCCGATACTGAGCCCATCGGACCCATTTGCTTCTTCGTCTTTATCTTCTTGTTGTTCGGAGTCAGAGTGGTGGTTGTGGTGGTGCTTTTCTTCTGAGTCTGCGTCAGAAGCATCAACGAACTCCCAGTGCGAAAGACCCACATAGTCCTCTTCTCCAATTTGCAAGAATTCAAATTCTTCGTCCATGGAATTTAGCCCTTGAAACTTTCCCGATTCCATTTCTCTCTCTTGTTTTTGGTTTAGTTTCAGTTTTGGATCTTCAAGTTTTGAAATGAATTATTGGGTTTCTTCCCTTAAGTAACTTCAGTTTTATAAAGGTTCGTTGCCTTTCTCGGGAATCTGAGGTGGGCATAAGGATGAGATGTCCGCCCCGCCCGCAAGTTATCTCGTTCCATTGGTGCACGCGACTCTGCCCAATGGCTTTCTTCCACCTGTCACATTCCAGTTTCAAATTTTTTTCCTTGCCTAAACTAAAACTACCCCACTAACAAAGCAAAAAAAAACTTACATGTAACGGAATGGCTTATAACTCAAGTGCTTAAGATTCTCGGGAAATCTATTTTCAGGTTTTTTGAGCCTATTGCTCAACGCTGCTTCCCCATGGGAGTCAAAGACAGGATCGAGAACGATGTCCTAAGTTTAGTTTTCCCTCCGTCAATATTACGTGTATAAAAAACAAAAATAAAAAACCGCCACCCACTAAAATTTAGCTTTTGTTAAATTCTCTAAATTTAGCTTTATAATTGTTCACAAAACTAACTTGAGTTATAGTTTAATTTTTTGAGTTAGCTGTTGGATTTTGTGGTTTTTGAGTTAAAATAGCCAAATAACATGGTGTAGTTAAGACTGTTGGAGATACTCATTTGCCCAACTGATGACAGAAGATGAGAATCTATCCTTTCCAATATAACCCAACACAAGAAAACGAAATTGTAATAAAATGTTTATTTTTTCAGTCATGTATAAAATTGTGTTGCCTAAAGTTAAGGTATGGGCTTCAAAATCCCCGATGCTTGGTGTGAAATTGAGTTTGATTAGTGTTTTTGTAGGTCGGAAATTTGACTTCAAATATTTTGTTTTTGTTTTTGTGTCAATGCTAGTTGTGATTTATTCTTTTTGACAAACCAAGCAATTGAAAGTGTTTGTGGACAAAAAAGCTGTCAGTCTCATCATGATTTGGATACGTTTTGTGGGCATTTTTTGTATATCTAAATTGGAGCATAATTTTTTTTTCTTCTTTTTATAGAAGCAATATTGAGAAAATAAGGAATTGAATTTAAGATCTCCTCTTGCCGGAGAAAGGGTTGTAGGTGTTGGAAAGTTGTCCATTTGCTCAGTCTGGTTATGCACTCTACCTGTTCGACAAAAGGACTGCTTTCCTTTGTTGCATAGCACGAGCGTTTATATATTCTTTTAAAAATTTATGACCAAAACGACATCGTTTTGAACCCCAAAAAAAACACAAAAAATTATGCGTGATGTAGATGGAAAAGGAGGGAACTCCTTCACTAAGAAGGAGATTTTCCTTTTAAAAAGAGAAAGTCCCTTTTTGATTACGTCCTCACCCACCAATCAAATCCAAGTCCTTATAAAAGAGCACGCGCTTATATATTCTTTTAAAAATTCCTGACCAAAACAATGTCGTTTTGAACTATATATAAAAATAAAATTAAAAATTAAAAAGAGTATGCGTGATGTAGACAGAAAAGGAGGGAACTCCTTCACTAAGAAGGAGATTTTGCTTTTAAAAAAAGAAAGTCCCCTTTTTATTTTTCTTTGAAAAAAAGAGAAGTCCCTTTTTTATTACATCCCCACCCGCCAATCAAATCCAAGTCCTTATAAAAGATCATCAAATTCACAAAAATAATTTCGTCCCCTCCACCAAATATGTTTTTTTTTCAATGAACTCAAGTCTTTTATAAAAACTAATTCATCGATCAAGTCAATGGCGAAAGGATTTTATGTGTGTGGTAGCCTCTCACAAAATATAAACAATAAAAAATTCAAACTCAAGAAATACCAAAACATCAAAATAATATTGTCTATTCATTACAATCATAATTTTGATAATTAAAAAAAAATCTTTACAATTCATAATTTTCCTCGACAAGTTTTCAAATTTTGAAATCATTGCATAACAACCACGTCATCCATATTATTAAAAATGTTTTTCTCAATGTATGCAACCAAGCAATCATTCATCAATGAATTAATACAAATTTATAAATAAACCCAATCCTAGACATGTATTTATAAAAAAAAACCCAAGCACTATTTAAACATAGAAACACACCCAAAATCAACAATTGTATATTTTTTTGGTGTGTTTATAAATGGGTTTTGAGTGTGTGTAATGATGGGTTTTGGGTGTGTTTATAAAGTGTTTTGGGTGTTGGATTTTTTTATAATTTCAGCCCCCCATTTTAGGTGTTTTAGTGAAACTCCCATGAATTAACCTAATTTTAAAACTTGATAATATAATATTGAATTTGAGGAAAAAAACTCACAAAACAGTGAGAAAGTTTGCTCCCACCAAAAAAAGAGAAAAATGGATTAAAATCTCTTTGGTTTTTAGCTATTTGTGTAAAAAGGTAATATAATTATAATAGTTTTATAAAAACTTTTGGGAATGGGTTTGCAAAAGGACGTGTAGTCTTGGAGGAAACTTAGGTTTGGCTGGGTAGGTCCCACATGGTAAAATAAATATGTTAATTAATATGGTTATCCAATAACAACATACTATTTTATTTTTTTGTAATAAAAACTGAGTGGGGGCCTGGGACTGCACTGGTCCCAACGTGCCTCTGCCCCCAAATCAAGTCTTATGCCAAGAAAGAAAATATTGTATAGATCAAGCTTCCAAAGTAAGTTCCTCAAACATGCTGAGGTTTTTTTTTCCTTCTTTAGCAACTATAGCGTTAGTTTCGTTTTTCTTGTAATAATATTTGGCCTTTCAAATATTTAGTTGTCAATTTTATTTTTATAAAGAATTTAGCCTTTCAAAATTGCACATTTGTTAAAAAATTCTTAGGTCCGCTAGTGATACAACACTCATAAATTTCACTAATATGTATTGTTTAAATTAGTTAAACTACTATTTAGAGACATTTAAACGAATTTTAAAAATATTTATTGTCACTGTAAACTACTATTTATTGTAAAAACATTTAAATTAATTAAACTACTATTTAGAGACATATTTATTGTTTGCAAAAATAAACTATGGTACAACACTCATACATTCCACTATTATGTATTGTTTATAAATTATTTTTTTAAAAATAAATTTTATATACATTTAATCGTTAAAAGAAAAAATAAATAAATAAAAAAGTAAACGTTCTAAAAGATTCAGATCTCCAATAGTCAAAACCAATTTTTTATATAATTTTTAATAAAGAACGAATTTAAATACATTTAAAACGTTAAATGAAAAAATATATATATTGTAATGGCTAGCTAACATTAGCGCGCCTTTAATATATTCCGTAGAAGCTAACATCAGGCTATTGGCGTTTTATTCGCATCTTCCCGACCAAGACCTGGAAGGGGTTCGCTTTGTTTGGGATGAACTCACAAAGACTCGACCCGAGGAGGGAGGGGGAAAAGTAGTAGGATTCAGAGAAAAACCAACGGCAGAAAACCGCTTCCCTTTCAATCTTGGATTGCATTTGCACAAGATGTTCTCACTATCACGCCCACGCATTATACTTCCTTTTGTAGGGCAAAACATTCGGTGGGCCCACAAAAAATTTCGCATTGGCAACAGTTAGGCTACAAGTGGCATGGTTGTAGGGTTATAAAGCTAAATGTGGCCAAACTTTTTTTAGCTCATGGCTAGAGATGGGTTTTGCATCTTTTGAGGGCTAAATATGACCTATGGCCCATGGCTGGAGATGGAGAAACACTTACATGAAACAGAGATGACACTATTTTGCTATCTCAGCCAGTCACGGTATGCCACACGTGATCACTTTTACACATAGCAATCTGTGATTGGCCTTAAGGAGTGCTTCTGGAAGGGCCAAAAGTACTTTTTGAGAACCAAAAGCACGCTTTTGACTATACATTTGGCAGAAATATTTAAAAGTGCTTATGAGTAATAGAAGTACTTTCTTGAGAAGCTTCAAGGCGCTCTTCCAAGTGCTTTTCCAAGAAGTACTTGAATTATTAGTTAAAAAATCCAGCAATCTTCTATTAAAAGTGCTTATAAGGAAAAATACTTCTACAAAAGCAGTCCCAAATGAGCCCTTAACATGTTATAGGGCAACATTCAGGCAAGGCCAACTTGCTATAAACAATATAATATATATTTTGGCAAGGACCTGCTATGAAGTACATTACACGATAGACTGGGATCTTTCAAGCCCAGTTGCCGAGTCTGGTTTGATGATCCCAGAATCTTAAACAGAAAGGAAAATGCTAACTTCGGCATGTATTATTTTGTTATATGTCGCCTATAGCATCTAATCTCATCAAACTTCATGATCAAATGTTATTATATCATTCTTGAATGTATACATTGGATTTTGGCCGAACACAAAATGTGCTCATATTGGATGAAATTCCTTTAACCAAAAACTATATTTTTAAGTAGTAATAGTCTTCTGACCAATATGTATGCAATAGATCATTACCTGACAAGGTATTCACATCTAAACTTCTTTACTCTCTAAAAACGGTTCATCTTAACTTTCGGAACCAAAAGAGAGTTGTGCAGCCAGCAATGCCTTGTGATCCCAAACTCCCATGTCCATATTTTCAAATCATGAACATATACTATTGCAGCTTGCCCTGAAGTAGTTGGACAATTTGCTCTGCTCTCAATTGGATGCCATTGAGATACTCTGTAAGAACACGTTGCTGGTATGAACCTCCCTCCTGTTGTACAGAAACCAAAAATGATAAAGCATCAACATATGGGAAATAGAAGCAACAAAACGAAAATAGATAGGTTATTCAAAAACCGAGGTTGTTTCTCACTGTTCGGATCAGAGTCCGTTCAACCCTCTTCTTAATGACAGCATAAAGCTCCTGTGGTAAAATTTCCCCTTTGCCAAGTGTTAATCCATTGAGCAGCAGCTTGTTCCATTCTTCTTCAGGAGCTGCAAGGCAGATCCACCAGACATCAGATCAAATTGAGTGACTTTCTAATTAACTGCTGAGAAATATAATAGAAAGGTCAACCAACCTCCCCCGACGACAGTTTTAGCTACAGC